CCCCCCCCGCTATAAAAATAGACAAGTACTCTACTAAAGACCGCTCTCCTTTATAATGATATTGAAATTCAAAGAAAAGGCAAAAATAACAAAATTTTCACTTAATAAATTGTATAAATGTATTTATCTTGAACAACATTTAATGCATTTCGTTTTCCTAAGAGCAACTTCTTATATAAGATGCCTTGTGTTGAACCTCTCAGTTTTTAAGAATTTCCCTATTAGAGAGTTGAAATTTATTTTGTTATGGTTATGTCAAAGACTAATATTGCTCAATTACACATAGAGGTTGAGAAAGTTGATGTCGTTCAGTCACCTACTATAATAAGTATGGTTGAAGTCACTCAACCATCTAATGAAATAATGGCTATTGAATGAAAATTCAATAAGGATTTTAAGCCTAAGTGAACTTGTCCCTAGGAATACCAAGAGGGGGATGAATTGGTGAATTTAAAAATTAATTATTTACTTCAAAAATAAAAATGATATTTTTGGATTTTTCAATATTTGATAAATAAGTAATAATTATCAATTAATGCGGAAGTAAAATAAATTTACCAAAACATTAAAAGAACGATGATGATATTTTAAATAGTATAACAAAGTATTAATCACAATTATCAACAAGCAATTATCACAGAATTAAAATGCAAAAAGTAAAAATGCAAGAATAAAAAATCAGAACAAACATATCATAGATTTATAGTGATTCGATCAAATAATGACCAACGTCCACTCCCTGGAATCCTCCACTCCAAGTATTGCACTATCAATATAGTGATTTCCGTTTTTGCCCCACTTCCAAGGCGGAGAATCCCTTAAACAAATCACTTCCACCAAACCAGTGCGGTAGAGAGCCGGAAGCTTTGTAACCCTCTAGGTGACGGCTGTTGAGATTATTGCAACTTAGTTCTTTTTTATTGATATTTTTTCAACATATTTGTTTTTTATGATTCAAAATATTATTATTTATCCTAACATATTTTGGATGCACTGCTTTATTGTCTATGTATACTAATATTTCAGCAAAATCATACTCCAAATAGTTAAAGACTTCAAATCAAATAAGTTTTAAAGACTATTGTAAATGAAGTCTGTAATTTTTCACTTTATTGAGTCAAAGAGAGTATGACTGTAATTGAGTAAATGTGCACACACACATAGGGGGGAGATTAAAACTTCAATTTTTAAAATTAATCGTAATGTACGATTTCACTTCGTATGGGATAAGTTGTTCAATTATTTCTCCCGTCGTGCCGTGAAACAAACATAAATGAAAATTTTTTTAAGTATAAATCATACCATACAAACATAGTTCGTACATGCCTTTATGAGTACGAAATGGACGGGTTCTTGAATGCGTATAAAGAATTTTTTTAAGTATGGATCATACTGTATGAATACCGTTTGTACATGCCTTCTAGAGTATGAAATGGTCGGGTTCTAGTTCGCGTAAAAATAATTTTTCTAAGTATGGATAGTATTATATGAACCTAATTCGTACATGCTTTATAGAGTATGAAAATGTGAGGTACCATTTGTCCTGATGTTTCATTCAAATGAATTTGAAAATTTTTATAACTGATCATATCGGACGATGACATCATCATACGTATGTCATCTAGAGTACGAAATATTTGGGTTCTTTTCATACAGATGAATTTTAAAAATTTTCTAACTGTTCATCCCAGACGAACTTGGTTCATACCAGACGATGATCAGGTATAAAATAATTTCAGACTGATTCACAACAGGTTCATACGTAACAGTATTTAAACTTTAAAAAAAAAATTTAAAAAAGTATTTGAACTATTTGTACGTACAAAATTCGATCGTATTGTACGATCGTGTATGCTCAAAATTATAAAATTCAATTTTCTAAACGGTTTTTTGTGTCTTTTGTATAAAAGGTCCACTAAAAACTGACGTGAAAAAGTCTTGTATTCATAATTTTTCAAGGGAAATTGAAAGAGAGAGTGTGAGAGAGTGTTTGAGAGATATTTCTTGCAAGTGGAGTGTGAAGGGTTCACAAGGTTACTCAAAGGTAAGGATCTCTGTGTGATTTATGTTTTTCACTCCTCTTGTCTTTCTAGATTGCTCGTGAGAAGATCTTTGAAGAAGATCCAGTTCTCTGCTAACTCTTAGACGGTGTGAAAGGACGATGGTTCTCTACTGACCCTTGGAGAGTGTGAACAGCCGACGGTTCTCTGCCGACACTTAGAGAGTGTGAAAGGACGATGATTCTCTGTCAACACTTGGAGAGTGTGAAAGGATGATGGTTCTCTACCGCACCGAGGATTGGTGAACGAGAGTTTTGTAAAGACTTTTCTATCTTGTTGTGGGGGAAAAATGAGAGATACTTTTGGTAATAGTGAGGGAGTCTTTAGGGAGTGGATGTAGGTCGTGTTTGACCGAACCACTATAAATCTTTATGTCGTTTAAATTTTTGCATTTTATTTACTACAAGTTTTTATTTTATTATTAAAAATTTTGTTTTCAAATATTATCAATTAACTTGCTATGAATCTATAAAAGTTTTCAATTTTTTAAATCCAAGTGTAATTTTTTTAAAATAATCAATCACCCCCCTCTTGGTTAGCCTTGGGACATTAACTTAGATTTAAAAACCTAACTAAAATTCAACAAGTGGTATCAGAGCTTTATTTCAAAACTATAAGTTTAGATTACTTTTTAAAAAATGAGTATGGTTATATTTGGAAATCGAAACACACCCAAAGGGTACTCGATCACAAGACCTCCTTTATTTAATAATTTCCTTTTTGATTTTTGGAAAACACG